TTTTAATATTGCATAATTTTATGTATAGTGATGTAAGACTGTAAATTTAACACATGTTTTTTAATCTATTATAATGATTATAAGCTGTACACATATATTTATAATTGTATTGTACTATATTAACTGTGTGACTGGTTCTATATATATGTATATAGATTTATATAATATACAATAAATGAATGAATGAATGATTGAATGAATTAATGTGAAGTGGCTGTCTGAATATTTTCATTCTCAATGCCAGGTGTACAGGGACTTTTGACTCACTCTGCGTATACGTAGTTCAGACAAATCGAGTTCTTTGCAATTTGATGTTCTCATGGCAGTAAAGGTTTATGTTGTGGTCCTCTGAGTTATGTTGCAATCTGCCCGGTAGATGGTTACCAATGTTTTGGTGTAACATGCTGTCTCTCAGTGTAGTGGTAATGGATACAGTATGTTGCTCTGAAGTACTGGAAATCACTTGCAAGACCGGGTGGTGCAATAGTCCAGAGGACAACAACGATTTTTGTTTATTGCTTTATACAGTGAAATCTATTGACATTGGAACCTGTATTAAGTAGAAACCTTTGTTTATTGAAAAAATTTCTGTCTTTTGAATACAGAGAGAAAACCGTTTTGAAATTACCGCAAATAAAACGGAACAGTTTAATGAGAAATTGGTCAAAATGGACAGAATAATTGTGTTTCTTACTCATATAATTTTGTCATTAAAATAAAACAAACTCCGTGGCCTGTTGTCCGCAAGCAAACTATACCGACCGAGCGACCGCCGCGGTTTTTGCCAAACGGTTTCCTACGGCCGTTAATCTCGGTTTCCAAGACCGGAGCCGTTGTTTCCTTGAAATAGCTCCACAGTTATAGTCACGAGGCTGAATGGGCCCGTTCCAAACCCACTACTTCTCAGAAAATCCGATAGCGCCGGCAATCGAAACCGGGACCTCTGGATCTGTAAACAGGAACTCTGACCACTAGACCACAGAAGTGGACATCCGTTTTGCAGATACAAAAGAATGAGCGATTTTGGACAAGATATGTATGGAATAAGTTAAAGGCAAATAAGATGAGAAAGGGAGGAAAATAAGCCGTAAAGTGTGTACTGCTCAGCACACATGTGGCATGTGTCACAGTTCTGGATGTCTGTGCCATTATTATCTCTCATTTTTAAGAATACCGTTTGTTTTTCTCACAAGCTTTAACATTTACAGAAAGTATATTGGGCATAAAGTGCATTCTTCACTTTTCTCTGACAACTTTTTTTTTAACATTTTTCAGTCAGATTAGTATTTAGCAAGTTACACATAAAATATGCTCAGAAATGTATATGTCTTTATGTAAAGTATCACTTTAATCAGTTGTTATAGAATATATGAACAAAGCTACTGAACATTCAAGTTTCAAGAAAATCATTTCCATGGTTCTTGATTCGTAATGTCCGAATGCACAGACAGACATGGTGAAGCTAATAGATGCATTTCTTTAAAACTTTTCATTTAGAATAATTCAAAAAGTTTGTCTGTTTCAATTCTGTTATGAACTAGGGTCTGTTTTACTATGCTTGTAAGCTAGACACTCATACACTATTAAACCACAACCATCCTCCTTAGCACTGATATTATTCCCTCCAGTTACTTGTTATCTAGGAGTTTGTGTCTGAGATGCCTGGTGTGGTGGTGAATAACCTCCCAGACCCAAATGCTGTAAGGTAAGGTAGTGATGCATATTGAGAAAATGTAATCATGTTGTCAGCATCCATGTGGAAAATTAACATCACAGTAAATCTCCTCCTTGCCTTATATCATACTGACAAGAAGCAAAGAGTACACAGACAGACTGTTTATAATGGCTAGCACTCCTGTTGTTCTCTTTGCCTTTAAATTACTTATATTTATTTAAATTTTTAAACAGTACATGTTCATGAGGGGCTTGTTGCAGACTTTACACAGACAAGCACACCCTGAAGTACTAGAGCCCATGTGTCTTAATTTAGTGTCAGGTTTATTGTATGACACCTTGTAATTTGTTAATGAATATTGACTCTCAGGCTAACTTTTCTGTGATGCATACTTTGTGATGAAGTGCTTCCACACCCTTGCCAATTCATTATTCTCTGAATATGAGACAAAATAATCAGAGCAATGGAATATATATTTTTAAACAAACCAAAGAACAAATGCAGTAATTCTTCTATGAGACACTATACAACCTATGGAGTTGACAGTATATTATTAATGAAATCAGGAAACAGAGTGGTTCATACATCCTTATATTTGGCACTACATAATTCTTGCAGTTGAGAAGGCTTTGCTGAATAAAGCAATAAACAGTTTAAGCCATGCTTTTATCTACTGCTGTATAAACTGTGCAGTTGAGAAAGCTCTGTTAAGAGAATTGATAAAGAAGCAAAATCATACTTTTGGATACTATGTAAACTGTGTAGATGAAAAATCATTCATAAATAAACTGAGAGAAATTACGTTGTTTGTCCTGCATCCCCTTTTGTCATCTTGTTCAGATTAGTAAAAACTTTTGCAACAAAAATTTAAAATATTGTCGTGTGTAGGGGTGCACATGACTTATAGGCATGATCTGGATTGGATTTATTAAAACCTTATACACACAACTCGGGAACTACAGGCAACAGAGTGCTATTGCTGATCTACACGTTTTATGGAATACCGTTACACACACACTAGGGTTCTCAGTCTTCACTAGCTGTATCCTGGCAATGGATTTATGACAGCCTCACTGTCACTTCAAATCACACATGAAGTCATCTTTTCACTGCCTAATTCCTTTCTTGCCATTATTCTGCAACTGCAAACTCAATTCAATTCCTCTGCTCCCAAGCTCATATCCTGGTGGGTTGGCATCTCAAAACTTGACCCGATTCTTCTCACCTGAACTATTCTTTATAACCACTTTGCATGGACCACGCAGGAAACACAGCCTTTCAAAACTTGACCCGATTCTTCTCACCTGAACTATTCTTTATAACCACTTTGCATGGACCATGCAGGAAACAGCCTCTGTACTGTTGGGAAGGCCTGTTTACAGTGCTGTTGCATACCAATGGAAGTTACTTGATTGTTGGTTGCATATTCTTTACCACAGGAATGTGTTTACAAAGTCGTTGCCTAGCAGTAAACATCTATTCTGACCTTACTATTCCGACATTGGGTTGTCATGTCACAATATGTCATAGTGTGGCTAATGCTGAACCTGTGATTCAGTTTTGAATAGGTAGTATATAAGTTAATAATAAGAAGTGTAAATAGAATGTAGCCACTTTACAGCACATACATGTAAACTAAGAATATAGTAATTAACACTCATACAGCGGTGAGGAACGTTCAAATAGGATTGTGCATTGCAGTGAAATAATTAATTGTGTAACCGAGAACACCAGAAGATGACCTGCTATGGGTCGAAACATGTAGTGTGAATAAACATTGGTTGCATTGATGGCTGAATGTGTAATTAATTATATAATCTATGAATTTATATATCAATGTGAGCCAGTATAGTTCAAGCAAGTGCATGCTTTTTATTTAAACATCTTTACTTTAAATCAGTTCTAAAGGCTTTTTTTAGCTGGTTATTTAATGACACTGTCTGTATCAAGACTGTATAGCAGATGCCATCTTCTGTGATGTGGCACCATGTAGATCTTGTGTGGTTCGCCCAAGATCTACATGGCATCACATCACAGAAGATGGCATTCTTCATAGTCACAGCCATGAAAACCTCAGATCTTAGAAGACTGTATAGTATTGGATAATAGGAGGATTAATGAATGTGGAACAGTTGGTGAAGTGAGAATTGGTGGGGGAAACCAAATTACTCAGAGAAAACCCACTCAAAATCTCTATGTCCACCATATATCCCACGTGACCTGACCTGGGATCAAGCCAGAGTTGCCATTGTGGAAGCCGATAACTAACAGCAGGAGCTGTGGCATTGCTTCTGAAGCGTTCTGACAGTTCTGTATGACACTTCACACTACTGAGTTTCTGAAATATGCACATCGTCTAGTACTGCAAAAGTATTCTTTTGGAATACAAGATGTCAGACAATTAAAAAAATTGAGTAATCACAAGTTATTTACTCTAATTAATCTCTTTTATTTGCCTTTGATTGTATATCTTATCACCAAGCATGCATTGTAACATTTGAATATTTAAGGAATAATGTGTATTATATTCCATGTACCAAGCAGTAAACAATATGCAGCACAGTTGTGTCATGTTTGTTGTATTTGTGATTTACTTAATGATGGTTTCAGTAGCTCAGATTGCATAGTGTTGATCAAAGTACTCTGTCTAAAACATCTTTGAAAGTATGGCAGTATCAAGTATTGATGCTGATTGTTACATTGTCATCAGGAAGTCACTAGATTCTATTCTTAGAATACAGTGGTACCTCAAACTGCCATACTGGAGGACTCATTGAACACACAGGACTTTCTCTTATAAGGTTATCTACTCATCTACTCGAGGTATGAGCATACCTCAGAGGTAGAATGCTTAACAAATAAGGAATTGAAAAGAATGTGCGAGGAATCACTTGTATCCTTATTTGAGTATTATCTCAGCATTTACTTGGAGAGGCTGAGGAAAACAGTAAAAGACTCCAGTCAGGATGGGATGTCTCTGAGCTGTGATTTGAAGTGATGACCTCCCAAACACAAAACATGAGTGTTAATAAATGACTTCAACATTTGGTACAGTCATGTCATAACATTCCTGTTACTGCTGCTTATTGATGGCCGGAAGTAGTGATGATTCATTGAACGGTAGTGTTGAGAATGAGTTCTGTGATATTTGGGAAGCAAAATTACAGCTGCTTATATGGGGATGTGTTGCTTGATTTTCTTTCAGTTTCTGTGTTTATTAATAAGAGATTGTTTCTGGTATTTTTCAGGGTGCTCGGGTATGGATCCGACATCCTGACAAAGTATGGGAAGGGGCTGAGGTTGTCGGAGACTACACAGGAGGATCAATGAAAGTCAAATCAGAAGATGGAACTGTAAGTTGAGTCAGAATCAGAGCAGTGCTTCATTCTTGACTGTCAGTAGGCAATATTTCATATTACTGACATCCATGTGTTATAAAGATGATTATGAGAAATAATCAAAATAAGTTTTCTGAAAGGGTCAATTTGATAAGCTACATTGTTCACTGCCTTAATATGTTTAATAGGTACATGATCTCAAGGTAAAATCAGACAATGACCTGCCACCTCTACGAAACCCTGACATCCTGATAGGGGAGAATGATCTCACATCATTGTCATACCTCCATGAACCGGCTGTTCTCTATAATTTACAAGTTCGATTCTGCAGACAGAGTGCTATATACACATACTGTGGTAAGTTGAATTTGGGTGATGTAATATAATTTTCTTACAGTGGAATATATTTGACACTCTTTTTGTCCTTTTTGACCTCATTCCAGTATTACACTTGGACTTAGATTCCAAAAATTTTAAACAACTTTTAGACTGATGGATTCTGTAACTGCTTCCAGAATATAGACAGTATTAAGAATGTAATGGCCTTTATTACATTTTTTAATTATAAAGCCCCAAAAGATAAGGGTAAAGTTCTTGCTGTACGTAATTAAGCACCACACTGTGAAGTCTTATGGGAGGATGGTGGTACAGGTTCCTGGACCTTAATGTTGACGCTTGACGGAGGTGAATGGTCAGCTTCATACCCCAGCTGCTTAGTCCCAAAGAAAGAGTTCTGGTGCCCATTATATAGGAGGCTGTGTGGGCCCCAGAACCAGATTCAAATATGTGGAGGAGAGACCAGTCTCTTGTTCTGCCTGAAATTGAACACTGATTCATCTGTCCTCCAGTTCGTAATCTAGTTGCTATATCGACTGAGCTATTATGCCTTCTTAAAAAGTCATAGCTGAAAAGTTGGCAAGCTGCTCATTATATGAGCTGTGAGATTTATCTTCAAGGGACAGTACAGAGGTAACACAATTATGATATTCTAAGAGAGGGCACGCAGTAGCATAGTTGGTTGAGGCACTATGTTACATGCTGGAAGGACACAGGTTCAATTCCTGATGAGGTCATTGGATTTTTCAATTGAACTAAACTTTCCAGCTGTTCTATTGCCCTGGGATCAACACAGCCTCTAACAGAAATGAATACCAGGAACCTTCCTGGGGGTAAAGGGCGGCCGGTGCACAAGGCTGACAGCCTTACCGCCATTTGTGAGATGATTGCCTAGAAAACGTTGCATCCTCAACATCTCACAATGTTATGGGCCTCCATGGCCTGTTAACAAGGATAGCGTTATGATATTATAAGAATTTACCTTTCAGGAAAGCAAGTTTGAAAATCAGTGCATCCCAAAACCACTTTTTTTCTTTCTTTTATTTCTAGTGGGGTGGGACTAAGTCCCTTGTACTGCGGCCACTTCTGGCCTATTGTACCAGCCCCAGATGACAGGTGAGGGTGATTGTGGAGCAATTGGTGGAATGAAGATTGGCAGGGGAAACCGAAGTACTAGGAGAAAACCTGCCCCAGTGCCTCTTTGTCCACCACAAATCCCACTTGGCCAGACCCGGGATCGAACCTGGGTCGCCACGGTGGGAAGCCAGCGACTAACCGCTTGAGCTATTGCATATCCCGAAACCACTAATAATATTCATTATTTAACACTGTTATATCATTGTTAAATTACTCATGAAAAAAGAATTACCCTGGCTGTATCTGTACTGCTCTTTGAACAAGTCATATTCAAGACAGACTAGTGATCAGTATGTTAGCATGTGTCACAAGCACGCACTATACATGTATTACATTTTATGACATGCCATATTCCCAGCAGATGGTTAGGGTTTTATATTAGGTTTATTTTAATTTTTTATCTATATTCCCAAGTTTGCTACTCTCAGTATCAGTGGTGTTTATTGTAATGAAGGCTGTGTCTGATGCTTTTAATGTACCTGCTGTAGTGATATTGTATCTTGTTGCACATTAAAGTTCAGTCTCTGTATTGAAAAAAAAGGGCTTCTCAGAACTCAGGCAGTGAAGGTAGCCTGGTAACAGATGAAGCACTTGTAAATGTTGTGAACTCATGTAGATTGTAAAGGGTTCTGATGATGGTGTATAACACTCAGGATTACTCGGTTTTTGGACTTTTTCCATCATCTGGTATCCTAAAAGATACAGAAGAGCACAACATTTCTAAAGCAGCTTGTTAACTCTCTAAGAGACCCAACAGAATAGGTGTCTCCCACCCCTCACCTGAGGATGGTAACAGATCCAGTTTCTGATACAGTGTGTTCTTCAGTGTCTTATAGAATAGCAGATAATGGGCAAAGCCCAAGAGCCCAGTAATCCTGAGGATTTTGAGTGCAGTTTAACAGTCTTCTATCATGGAATCAGAAATATGTGACAGCCCCTCTTCTTTTCCCTGCACTCTGTGTCTTGGTGTGGATTGTGTCATGTACAATTAATGTCTACTTGACATTCACAAAATAGAACCACTTAGCCTTTTATTATACTCTTGTCAAAGTGGTACACATTTTCAAATGCTTTTTGGTCATTAATAGGTCATCAGTATAATATAAATGTGGTTGGTTACATTTTGTGATCATATCTTTGTAGCTGCATGGTATTAGAAACTGTAACATCAAAAAAAGTCTTCTCATTGTGTAGGTATTGTATTGGTTGCCATCAATCCTTATGATGAACTGCCAATTTACGGCAGTGATACTGTTTGGGCCTACAGAGGGCAGGCCATGGGTGACCTTGACCCTCATATATTTGCTGTTGCAGAAGAAGCCTACACTAAATTGGAACGGTATGTAAGTTTTAATGGCTGTATTTTTAATTAAGGTGTCAGAGAATTAGCTTTACTGAACATAAGCATGGTTTACTGTGCCACTGGAGAAAATGATACTCTTTTCTTTGTTTTGTTTAGTTTATGGGGAGATCATTCTGAAATTAGAAAAGTGAATGATTGGTGATACTGATATTTTATGCTTGAGCTTAATGAATGTTAAATCTATTTGAATTCATAGATTATATAAGATACGCTTGATAGTATGATATTAAATTTACATTTCATATGTACACACACCCCAGGGTAGTATTTGATTGTAACTAAAATGGCTGTATTGTGTTAAATTTGTGTCCGAAAGCTGTATATCACTTGTAGAGATTGCAGCATGAAGAAAAGCAGAAATGAAATGAATTAGTCACTTCTACTCATAGAAGGTAGAAATTCTTATGTAGTGCCATAACTTCCTACTTGAAGTGTTATGGTAGTTTTGTATTGGCACTTTGTGGAAGAATTCAGCCACTCATTGAGGGACCCACATGTCCAGTTAGTATGCCCATACAAGTAGGTTTTGGTATAACATTCTGTATCTGTGTACAGGGAAGTGAAAGCTGGTAATCCATTTTCTCAATATACATTCATTTCTGCACCCAAAATGATGATTAGTTTCCTTAATTTTTATAAAATAATTTACATCCATTGAACAGTACATTGTATGGAAGTTTTGTACTATCGTCTGTTATCACATGTATTTGTAATGTGAGAATTGGATGGAGGCGATAACTCTCTAGTAACCCAGTTAAAGGTGGTGGTAGTTTAACTGTGATTGTCTAGTGATGTGAGTCATATGATTAACCAAGCATATTTGCTTCCTATTTAACATGTCTGATTCACAATGTGGAGCCCAGGTTCTGTCCTTGTGGTGGCCGGTTTTCCTGACCTTGCAGTTCTTATACATTTCTTGCATGAAACATAGCTATTAGGGAGATGCCATGCATATCGATACATGCTCTTTGGGAATGGATTCTGAACTCTATCTAATTTTAATATCTTACATTAATTTAAATTATGTTTAAAGAATAAATTGTATTTTCACATTCAGTGGTGAATTTTTGCATTTTTCTTGAAATCCTAAAATTATTCATCACATTAAAATTGTTTTATGCAAAAGTCATATAATGCCATGATGTGACTTGTTTAAGGAATACTATTCTTCCTGTTTGTTGCTTGCTTGTTTGCTTCCTTGATTTAGTTCCTCCCTGAAGGAAGCAGTATGTCCTATGAAATGTCTATAAACCTCTACCAGACTACACGGCGTCATAAGCCAGAAGATAGTAGTGATCTTTATCACCACCATGACAACCTCAAATTATACACAGAACTTAAATTGTACCATGTTTTGTATGATGGTGAAACTTTGCCTGAGTGAAGAATGTAGATTGTCAGTTTGAGAAGGTCTTGAAAATATTTGAACTCAAGAGAGAGTCAGTAAAAAAGGTGTGGAAAATGATGTAATTATGAACTTCGTATTTTTTGTTCCTCAAATTATGTCATTAGAGTGATGAAATGAAGAATGTTGAGAAGCATGGTGCATGTGAAATACAGCATTATAGTCAGGAAACCCAAAAACCACTAACCACAAACCAGAAGAACCACTCAGAAGACTTATATATATGTGGGAGGGTAATACTAAAGCTAATCTTGGAGAAATAGGGTTTGGAGGTGTGGACTATGTATAGATGTCAGGCTCAAGATGTGGTCCAGTGTCAAACTTTTATGAACATGGTGTTGAACCCATGGGTTCAGTAAGAGCAAGTGGTCCCTTGACAGGCTGAGTACCTATTATCTTTTCAAGGAAGACTGTCTTCTCTGCAGGTGGTTAGGAAGTTTAAAATTACCAATTGATCAACAGATTTGGACACTGAGGATGCACCTTAAGCAGAAGTTCTTTTGATACACTTGGCTGAAACTGTTTTGGGTAGTACTGTCAGATTTTCACCCCATCATAAAGTTTATAAAGGTTATGATCATTTCTTAAAGACATATTTCACTGTATTTCAACATACAGCAAAAATATGATACTTAACTTGGTTTGAATATCTATGCAGACTATTAGAAATTAGTCTTGAAGTAATGTATTTTCATAATGTGACTTTGTTTTAATATTTTACTTCATTTTTTCATTTCAGAGAAGAGAAGGACCAATCAATTATTGTTTCAGGTGAATCAGGTGCTGGAAAGACTGTATCAGCAAAATATGCCATGAGGTACTTTGCAACTGTTGGGGGCTCATCCACAGAAACACAGGTTGAAAAGAAAGTCCTGGCTTCAAGTCCTATTATGGAGGTAAAAAGGAAACATTAATTTCCCCTCAGTATTTAATCTTTGCAATACATACTACATATGTATGTGGGGCAATCCAAAAGCTTCCGAAATTTGAATTTTGCGCGCGAATGGTTATGAGTACATCGAAATACCGCTAGGTGATCTCCTCACACATCCTTCTTGAATCAGTGTGGCAAGCGGCGTCGAGTTGAGTGGTTGTGTTTATTGTTGGTGAACGTATTTCCATTGTTGTGTTTCCATTTTGCGATGGCTGACCTGAGAGAGCAGCGTGTCTGTATAAAGTTTTGTTTCAAACTTGGGAAAACCGCTGCAGAAATGCACCAAATGTTGAAGCAAGCTTTTGGTGAAAACAGTTTAGGCAAGACACAAACTTACAACTGGTATAAGCGTTTTAAAAATGGCCGAACATCGACTGATGATGATGATCATTCGGGACGGCCGTCAACTGGCACCACACCAGAAAATGTCGTGAAAGTTAGGGATCTGACCATCCAAGACCTCTGTAACACCTTGGGACTAAGTTATGGTACATGTCAACGAATTTTGTCAGAGGAACTGAACATGAAGAGGATTGCGGTGAAGTTTGTGCCACGACTGCTGCAAAATGAACAGAAGCAGCATCGCTTGGAAGTCTGCAGGGAACTTCAGCAACAGCTTCAAGAGGATCCAAACTTTCTTTCGAAAGTTGTCACTGCTGACGAAAGTGGGGTTTATGGCTAGGACCCTGAAAGCAAGCAGCAATCGTCGCAATGGAAGAGCCCTTCTTCACCTCGGCCAAAAAAAAAAGCTCAACAGGTCAAGAGCAGCATTAAGTCCATGTTGATCTGTTTTTTTTATATTGACGGGATTGTTCATAAGGATTTCATCCCTCCTGATCAGACAGTCAATAAAGAGTTCTATCACGATGTTCTAAGGCATTTGAGGGAGGACATGAGGAGAAAACGTCCAGAGAAATGGCGCACGAACTCCACCATGACAATGCACGATCGCATACGGCTTAAATTGTGCAGGAATTTTTGGCTAAAAACAAGATGGCAGTTGTTCCCCACCCACCGTACTCGCCAGACTTAGCTCCATGCGACTTCTTTCTCTTCCCCAAGATGAAAGTCAAGTTGAAGGGGCGAAGATTTGATACAGTTGAGGAAATTGAAGCAGAAACGCAGACGGTACTAAACACCCTAACAAAGAAAGACTTCCAGGATGCATTTGAAAAGTGGCAGAAATGCTTGGATCGGTGTATGTGCTCCCAAGGGGACTACTTTGAAGGTGATGGTGCAGAATAGGATCTAGGTAAGATGTAATAGTTTTTATTAATATACTAGCTGTACCCGGCCACGCGTTGCTGTGGCTCAGTCTAATGAAATATTTCAATTCAAACGCAGATCAATCGACACAGCTCAATCCCACCACCAATTGCACTGAAAAATAAGGAAAACAGTTAAGAAAACGAAATGAAAAACAATGAAAAATAAACTATACTCACGAAATGAACGCTATGGTAAATGACACAGCCCAATTCCAATGCAATGTCACATGAAAGAATTAAATCAAAATGAAAATAAATTGAAACTGTTTATATTCGGCGGTAGCTATCCCAAGACTGAATCCTTCGGCGGTTACTTCCAAACTCTCTTCTGTATCCCTCGGCATCTGCCCCGAGACTGACTGCTTCTTGTCCAAGCTGGACTATTTGTACCTAGGCGGATGCTATACAATAAGCCTTCTGTTGTCTATCACCGGGGAAACGCTGCCAGAGTCAAATCCAAAACTCTGAGTGCAAACTCAGGATCTGTGCTGTGATTTCACTCGGAATCTCTTGTGATACTTGTGACCTTGTGATACTGAACAGTCGCCGGAGCTACACTCTCTTATACGTATAGCCAGCGTTCGGACGGGATAGGGAATACCTTATCAAAGAGTTAGTTTCATCTGTTGCTTAGGAAATGCTAGCACAGAACACCTTGTAGAAGTGTTTGGTTTCATCTGTTGTTACGCAACGGAACCTCTTATCCTCTCATCTCCGGGGAAACGTGTCTGTTGTTTCGGCAATTCTATGCAACGGCCCACTGTTATTGCGTTTCCATGGAAGTATACTTTCCGGATTCGCACGTGGCTGGGTACAGCTAGTAGGTATATAAAAACACGTGCGCATTCGAATGCAATGTTGTGTCAAAATTTCGAAGCAGTCGGTGAAGAACTTTCGGAGATTATCGAGGGCTAACAAACGAACATTTACATTTTTATTTATATAGATTTCGGGAACTTTAGGATTGCACCACGTATATTCTGCTTGCAAATAATGGTAGATTTATGAGTTCCTTCTTAATTAATTTAGTGATTTAAATTAGGAAATTGTACTTTCCTTTTAATACAGCATGTTATGGAGCAAAGGTTACGTACATGTAGATGTAGTTTTTTTGGGTAAATTTGAAACACAATAATTAGACTGTAAGAATAAAAAACAGTAATAAGGGCATGAAACGGGAAACTTGGGTCTACAAGGAAGTGTACAAGCAATACCTGACTAATCAGAATGTTAACACGGCAGCGTAAAAACCGCTGACACTGAGGAAGGGCTATGTGAAGTAGGCCATAAGCACTATGGCAGACGGAAAATGCTGAGTAGGAGGAGGCGGCATACCAAAAAGAGTCAACCCCTTCTCGATCAACAACCAATAATCAAGCCACACCGACCCAAAATCACGTCAGAGTAGGAGGACCCATATACCCGGAACCCGACGAGTCAGCGAGCAGAGGTTATATAAACCCGAGACGAATCATTTTATGATTCTATTCTATTCTATTCTATTTGAATCTATTCGATTCGATTCTATTCTTTTGTTATATTATTATTAATGTCATTATTACATTAGTATTACATTTGTGGCCATGAGTGGACGCTGGATAGTGATGGTGAGCCTCCTCTTCTTCAGCTCAAGTAAGTGAAACCATCTTCATATAGCCATGATCATTAAGTGTAACAGTGTAAAGTGTAAAGTGTAAACCCAGGAAGAGATAGGCTAGCCAGATGGTCTAGGTTCATTCAGTGATTCCAAGGCATAGAGTACCCGACAGCAGGGTGACTGGAGGTAGAAATAATGAGGCGCTGCAGGATCGTTCTCAATGTAAGACGAACCGACAATCGTCGGCACAGTGTATATAGTGTATATAACGACGCAGGTAAATAGAATAGGCTAGGGATGTGTACGAGTTTGATTCAACCCAACATATCCTCGAGTGTTACCCTCTCCCTTGTCGACTCCAGGACCTCCCAACACTCCGACGAATTACGAGTTAGGAGCTAGAACAGTGACGTAAGCCATGATAAGCTTACTGGATTTCTTGAATTAACAAGATGGTGGCAGCATACTAAACAGGGTGACAGAGCGGGATATTTCCACGTCCTCTGTCATCACTGCTTAAGAGAGATACAGTGGCAGAAACGGTGGAGGTACCTCCACGCCCCCCCTTCACGCCATAACACAGCAAATGGATGCTACATGAAACTCATACCTTCAAGGAAATATATTGTCACGTGACAAATAACTTCACGCCTTATTGGATGTAGCAAATTTTATTTCACATTCGCTCTTACAATCACACAAATTACAAGCTCAACATTACTGCCATTGGCAGTATCACAAATACTGTACTGAAATTAACTGGTGACTGACTCGTAACTAGAGAACTCGAGAACAGGTAACTGAGAACTCACTGCTGGCTAACTCGGAACTTGAGAACTGTGTCTCGTAACTAACTCGTGGGCTTGCTCGGAACTGACTGTGAATAGTCTTCACTGCCCCTTATTTAGCCTCGTTCTGGACAACACAGAAAACAGCCACGTAATAGGCACCACTGCTGTCTGGCACCGTGTTGCTATCAACGCTGTCGGGAGTTGTTTCCTGCTGTGTAGCACCGGGGGCATCCCGTGTTACGTCATTGTTGTTGACTCGCATTGCATAGCGACTAGTATGCTGGGACTTGGCTAACATCGGCTCCGCTCGGCGCATCACGGCTGGCGGGGTGGAGGGGCGTCATCCATAGCACAACACGTCACAATATTTTCATTAGAAGAACAAATAATTATTTTTCTAGTCACTTACACTCTACTCATGTTGGTAACAGAGATGATAGTGTAATTATATGTGCAACAGATGAGAAGGAAAGAGCACTTACCTTGCCAAGTCCCACCCTGATCTGTTTACCATCTCTTTTTCTAATTTTACATGTGTCTTAAGTATATTTGGGACAATGTTTATGAAATGGTATATATAGATACATAAAAGTGAGTAGAAATTCTGCTGAAATCCAAAATAACTCATTGAAGTGTAAAAGAAATGTTGAACATTTTAAAAGTATGTTTTGCGAAACAAAATCTGCTGCTTCTTGTTTGAAATTTCCATAACTGGAGGAAACTGTATATTTCTAAGGTTTAATGTTCTGGTGGCAGTATATGTTCTTAAATATGTGCATATATTTTTCCAACAGGCTATTGGAAATGCAAAGACGACACGTAATGACAACAGCTCCAGATTTGGGAAATTTATTGAAATCCACTTCAACAAGCAGTTCCATATCCAGGGTGCTAGTATGCGGACATACCTACTGGAGAAGTCCAGGGTGGTATTTCAGGCAGCTGAAGAGCGAAATTACCACATCTTCTATCAGCTCTGTGCATCTAGAGACTCACTACCAGAGCTGCACCTTCGTAAGTTATTTCATAGAACACACAGAAGAGTCTCTACCATGGACTTAAAAAATTCTTTAAGCATATAAAAGGATTTTAAAACAGGAGAACATAGATCTCAGAATAGCAGGTGTGAGCAGGCTCTACTCTTACGGACCAGTTTGAAATATGTTTGCTTAGTTTTACTTTAGTGTGCTGTAATGAAGAGTTCTTATTAGAAATTAAAAGGTGTTTCATAACCTCACATTATTATTGTGCCACTATATTTTAGTATATTATAACAAACAAAGAAATGCTTCAAATAAAACTCATAGGTATACTTCTGATTTGTCATTCAAAGTTTTACATGTTCTCTTTCTGCTCTTCTTCAGTTTTTGCTATCAGAAAGATAAATGCAAATTCATGTGTTCACTGTACTTCAGAATTATACACAAAAGTGGTATTAACAAAAGATTTCTGAAGGATGTCATGTCAAGAAATTATGGAACCATGCATTAAATGGAGCTAATGACACTAAAACAACTGAAGTTTCTGTGGGCACTGTGATATGACTGATGGTCAGAAATTAGGAGGTATGCAGGTGGAGTTAAAGTCAGGTGGTATGATGAATATTGGTTTCTTCATGTATTCTGGCAGATCAGTATCTCCATTTTCAGGGTACAAGAAATCAAATCCCCTACCCTGAAGATGGAGAAATTATATTTGTCTTAAACATTGATAACAGTCTACCAGATTACATGGCATCACATCAAAGAAGACAGGATTCCTCATAGTCATTGGCATGAGAACATGAAATCTTGAAAATGTTATGGTTTTCATGTTAATTTCCATGAAACTTTATCCTTTGGTTGCTGTGGAATACATACATGACACAATGAGACTACTACAGGCTGTCATTTCTTATAAGAAAAGAAAAATACTCTAAAAGGGATTTGATTTCTTTAATTTGTAGGTCACCAAGATGAATTTCACTATCTGAACCAAGGTGAAAACCCAATAATAGAGGGTGTTAATGATGCTGAAGCTTTTGAAGAAACTACAACAGCACTATCACTACTAGGCTTCAGCCAACGGGAGCAAGCAGATATGTTCAAGATTCTGGCAGCTATCTTGCACCTGGGAAATGTGACAATTAGAGATGCAGTTACAGAAGGAGATGGCAATGGTGGGGACAGTGAGGGCAGTGCAATTGCTGTGAGTTCAGCTTACTGTTAAGCATCCTGTTGCATTACTACATGCAACCTTGTTTACATACAATTTTCTGTCAATAATGCAACTATTTATTTCTTCATTCACCTTTTCTATCGCTGTTAACTCATGTTTCAGCACCAAACAGCCATCCTCAGGTGTCTCATTATGCTAAACCTGCTACACTGCAATGAGTATTGTCCATTCTACATGTGTGTAACTTTACATTTTGTAATTTAAATGTTACAATTGAACTGAACTGTTGTGCATTAAAATCTTACATGTACAGTTCACTCCATTTAAAACCAATTAAAATTCTTTAAAATCTTTAATTATATGAAACTCTTAATTCCACCTCATAAGGGGCATCATCCTCTTGTCTAAGCAAAATACCCTTTTTCAGTTGTTTACCTTGCAGCGGCTCACCCTTGCCATGTGCAAGCCCACTGTTATGTTTTTTCTGCAGTTTTGTCCCTTGCTAATCTGTTGTTCCCACAAGCCACGTATGGTGTTGTCTTCATGTTTGTAGAAGTTATCAGAAAGCAAATGTGAATGAAGAAATAAATAGTTGCATTATTGACAGAAAGTTTTATGTAAACAAGGATGAATTAGTGTTAAGTGCTTCTTGGGCTTTGCTATGTGTTACGCTTAGTGTTGAGCTCTTCTGGTGCCTTTCTGTGATTTCTTCTTAGTGTTAGGCATTTTGTAGGCGTCTTATACTTTGCTGTGAGTTCTGCCTTGTGTTAGCAATATTTTCATTTAGAGAATAATAGATTTGTAGTTGTATTGTATTGTATTGTACTGTATTTTATTTAATCTGTTTTGCTACATAGTAACACTTGGACAAGTCATTCAGTAATAGAAGTTAACAAAATAAATCTACAAAGTTACAATCATACTACCAACATATGTTCCAATCATAAGCAATATATAAATACGACATTTAAAAAAATATACAACTACTATATGCAGCTCATGAATGGCTATGACATCCAAACATAAGTACTTGCACCATCCACTTTTTTATTAACCTTTAAGTGCCGAAGTGCCCCATTTGTGCCAGTCATGAGTAAGGTCGTCGTGGCCAAAGTACCCCGTTTTGGCCAGTCAGGCATTTAAACTCCGCTAATGGAAGAGCGCGCACACGCCGCTAGTAGAAGCGCATGCACAGTCCTAAATATTTATTTTTAAATGTAGTAATTACCAGAGAGACTTGAGTAAAACCCTAATAGAAGAATTAAAATAATACCTAACTGAACAACAGCAAATAAAAATATACGTATGAGTTATGCCCAAACTTATCCACGATCCAGCAATTTTGTTGCAGATTCTGCAGATAGGTATGTTAAAAATATATTGTAAAATTTTATATACATACCTTTTTTTGTTGTTACCTGCTTGATGTATATATAGTTTGAAATAAAACTACAGTATTCGATTTCACTATGAACGCACACAAATCAGATCGCGCTCTGTATCTCAGCCACGATGCAGCTGTCTGTTCACTCAAATAGAAGGGGCAATAAGCTTTTGCAGCTCTAACGGAAGGTCTTAGTAACTGAAGAAGGGACCCCTCTAGCTTTCTCTTGAATAGTCACTCTTTCAATCTTCTGACCTTCAGTCAAAGATTCGAAAATCCGAAGAGTGTAAGCAGTGCTAGCAGAAGACCAAATGATTTTATTGCTTCCATCTGTTTCATGACACCAGGGACTGCTAAAATTTGTCAAGTGTTACAAACAGAAATGAATTTATAATGCAGAACAACTCTGTGAAGAACTGGGAAACCATTTGCAGTACGCATCAAAATTAAAACACAAAAAATTGAAAATAGAGTATAACACTTTGTATTAAAAATTTCAAATCTTCCGTTATAATATGCGACACTATATTCTTTTCTGATATAAACAAAGTTAATTCTATCCATTTATCATAAAAATTGAGCTAGATACAGCATTTTTAAACACAACGCTTAAAATTGATTAACCCCTCAAGTGTGTGCGACGCACCATTTGCGTCCGCTCAGTTACATGCATATAGCATGCATTTATGCGGGGGTATTTAAATCCCTCCCGGTGCTTTATTTTCACAAGCATTGAAGGTTTTGTGCAGACATTTACCTAAATATTTTTAAATAACGAACTCACTACTTGAAAAATTCCAAAAAATTATATTATATTTACAATTGTTTACAGTTCATTATTATAAATGTCTATATAAATTTTGTCAAGCTATTTCTTTTTCCCAGCTCTCCATATCCGGTGTGTAGTGGTTGACCTTGGTGTGGTATTGCTCAAAACAAGGGTCTAGGCAGAGAGACGGTGTCCCTGGGCAGTTTTTACACCTGTATCCGGTTTCTTTTC